TATATATGAGCCAATGCGCATCCTTAGCCAAGAGTTTGGTCGCACTGAACTGCACACCGTACCCACTAAATGAGACAAACCCTTCCCGATTAATACGCAGACACGTGATTTGTTTCAGGGTTATTAGTATATCGGGTTATGCACGTTTACTGCGAAAGGTTCACGAGTCTTCAGCGACCAGATATTAAACGTTTACGGGCTGAGATTCTGAAGTGGCTGGGATTGAAAACATATCGAAAAAACACCAGGAGGTAGTTGAAATGCCCTAGTTTTTTACGCAATGAAGTCCGGCTTAACTGTATGCACCAATATATACTCAGATTTATATATCGATATATATTATTGCACCTATAGTTACGAGTTTACGAGAATACGGGGTATGTGCAATATAAAATATGTGCACCCGAGTTAATAACATTCTACCCATGTGCATGCGCGGTGGATCATTATTGTGATGTGATGCAAAAATCATCCCCCCTATGTGGGTTTTAGCCTATGCGCTGCATGAGCTGAGTGGATATACGTTGGACTCGCCGTGTGAGCTATATTCTGTATATCGTATGTTGCGACACATTGAGCGCTGATATTAGTTGTGGACTGAGGCTGCTTAATCGCACACTGGAGACATGTATGGGATACGCCGGATACGCGTCCGCGAAGACTCGAGCAGTCCTGTATTGCACAGTGGTACATATACATACCAACAGACATAGCCACATACTATCGACCACTGATATCCGTCCCTCCACACATCCAAATACTCGAAGCACATCTGCGGGGAAACCTCACTAAAACTGTACGCATACAAATAGCAACCAAGCCTATAATCATAACTACATATACACGTGTACGTAGTTCCATACCGACGCTCCGGGCTTGATCATTCTGAGTGCCGTTTCGCTGGCGTAGTACGCGGCACAGATAGTGTCCGCAGCTCTGCCCTGCAATGGCGTTTTACCATCGGATGGGACCACATGCGTGTGACAGACTGTGGCGACATTGCCGCCAATATGTGCTGCCATTTCACTGTAGTGAGTATTTATGAGAGAGATCGTCTAATTGAGGTATAGGGTGTATATGCGCGCTTTTAGCATGATTCAATTAACTCCTGGCGCAGTGTGCGTTTGACCAACTCTGACTGGAACACCGGTAATGTGTGCTGTGATCTCACTGTCATAGCACGTGCAAGCGAAGCTACAGACAATAATTCAATTCTTACCGTGAGCGATGTATCATTTGTTGCTTGAAGGCACCACGTGTGCGATACAACGTTGACTACCAGACACCCACACATAGATGAAAACGCGTACATATAAGTATATATATATATATATATATATACATATATATATATATGTATGTATGTGTATGTATATGTTTATGTATATGTAAATGTGTATTTTTATGTATATGTATATGTATGTGTACATGTATATGAATATGTATATGCCCATGTATTTTCATATATATATTTGCACGTGTAAATTGAAGTATATATATATATAGAGATATATTTATATCTATCTATCTATATATATATATATATATATGTACATATATATATGTGTGTGTGTGCGTGTGTGTGTGCGTGTGTGTGAATACATATAGCTATATAGCTATATATATATATATAACAATATATATATATATATATAACAATATATATATATATATATACATACTCATATATATATATAATAATATATATATATATTTATAGATTTAGATACAACTATAGTTATAGATATAGATATAGATATAGATATGAATATGATATAGATATTGATATATATATATGTGTGTGGTATTTGTGTGTGTGTGTACATTTCTGCAGATAAATGTATGTTGTAGAAGTAGATATTAATATATACATTTATATACAAATAAAGCAGTTTACTTACATCTTCACTACATCGCCAGCTGAGAGCGCAAAGGGGTCGTCCGGAAGCGAGGAGTAGTTACCTACACAGTTATTTATAGACACACAAGTGGGAAACGCAATGTTTTTCTCCACATTCCCAGTCTTGTACACCGAGTTCAACTCTTCGCGCATGCACTGATCACCTCCCGCACACAGTGTCAGAATTAGTTGTCCTGAAGTGTATGTAGCAATTAAGAATAGGAGTTGTATTTCAGAAGTGGTTAAAAATTATTAAACGATCTGAACTCGAAGCAAATACTACATGTAACCGCGTATCGTACAATAGGACAGTCTACTACGCTTACTTACAATACTAATTTACAGTGAAACATATTATATATATATATATATATATATGTATGTATGTATGTGTGTGAGAGTGTGTGTGAGTGTGTGTGTATGTACGTATGTACATATATATATATATATATATATATATATTATAGTATAGGTAATATA